TGTGTGTGTGTGTGTGTGTGTGTGACACGGTGACAGCAGGTGGCAGGAGGATCCCGCCGGCTCCCCTCATTAACCCATCCGCAGGGCTTGGGCTGGGAGCCTGAGCAGCCTGAGCAGTGCGGGTGGAACGGTGAGAGCTGCAAGGGCGCCTCTGCTGCACAGCGCGCTGAGCCATCCTTGCTTTTGGAGCCCGGGAATGTGCGGGTGCTCGCACGGAATGTGCACTGACTGGCAGCGAGGGGCACCCACCAGCTCTCTGCTGTTACAGCGGGACGGAAACGGGGATAAGAGAGAACGGCGTTTCCGGACGCAGGCTGGCTGTGGATCTTCACTTTTGCCTCCTGACCTAGCATTAGTGCCACTAGGTGGGGATAAGAGCCTTTTAAAGCTGAATTAGATATTCCTTCCCAGTCACTTACTCCGGACGGACCCTCCGGACTGACCTCCAGCAGTGTTTACCGTGGCCCACTTGGGTCGGGCTGTCTGGTGGCCAGAGTGTCCGGTAGTCGGGGTATCTGGTGGTGCTCCCTTGTCACAGCTCTGCCCCAGGAACAGGTCAGACAGGTTCAACCATGGTTCAAGGCCTTTTCCAGTTGCCTCTTGAAAGCAGGGCTTGCATCACCAGTGTGGTGGCAAATCGTTAAAGTGCRTAAATTAAACATAATTGGTGGTTGGGGAAGGCAAAAGAATAACATAAATTTCTCCATGTTGTCTTTGGTCCACTCCTGAGCTGACTGGCTCAGTGCAGCTCCTGAGACAGGGCCGTGCTTGCTTCGTGGTGGCTAGAGCACAGAGCTGGTGGTGTTGGAGTGACTCAAACCACCTCAGAAATGTGTGACCAGTCAGTGCYGGGGGGGCCAGCAGACATCACCTCCTCACACCAGGGCAACTCGGTGTTGGGCAGCAGGCATGTCCTTTCCAGCTACTCACGTGCTGCTGCAGATGCTGAGACCCTGAGAACATGGAGTTCCTTCTTTGTAATGTGTAGCATTTGCAGCTGGATTTGGCAGCGCTGAGAGACTGATTATTTCAGACMCTTCTGAATACAAATATATATTTGTTAGCTGATAATCTGGAAATAAATATGTTTTAGTCTCAACTTCTGTATCTCATGAATTAAGGTTATATATTAAATGGTAAAGGTTTTGTATCACATTAGGGAAGCATTCCCAGTACTTTCTGAGTTATGAATTCTGAACAATTTCTAGATATGTTTCATTACTCACAACAACTGATTCAGATGTTCATTTCTATAATCATAGAATCATAAAATGGCTTGGGTTGGAACAAACCTTAAAGATGGACTAGTTCTAGCCTCCTGCCATGAACAGGGACACCTTCTACTAAACCAGGTTGCTCCAAGCCCCATCCAACCTGGCCTCAGACARGGATGGGGCAGCCACAGCTTCTCTGGGCACCCTGTACCAGTGTCTCACCATCCTTACAAGGAGCAATTTCTTCCACATATCMCATCTAACCCTGCCCTCTGTCAGTGCAGAGCCATTCCTTTGTCCTGTCACTACATGCCCTTGTAAATAGTCTCTCCCTTTCTGTTTGGCTTCTTCAGGGACTAGAAGGCCACAATTAGGTCACCCCAAAGCTTCTCTTCTCCAGGCTGAACAATCCCAACACTCCCAGCCTTTCCTCACAGCAGAGCTGCTCCATCCCTCTSATCATCTTGGCRSCTCCTCTGGACTCTTTTCAGCAGCTTCAAATCTTTCCTGTGCTGGACACTCCAAAGCTGTAGGCATATTCAGAATTTAATGTCCATCTGGTCAAAGAAGTATCCCATCTCTCATCCTCCTGCTAGGGTGCAGTTGTTACACAATATTTGTGTAAGAAACGTTGGCAGAGCCTCCTAAAACCAAGTTCTCTATAGYAATGAAGGAAGTTAGTTTTTTTTCACTTTATTGTGTGTATGCATGAGTATTATTTAAGGGGGTTTCTYGGGCCTGTAGGAAAAAAATCAGAGAGGCCAAAGCTCAGTTCGAACTTAACTTGGCAGCTTTTGTAAAGGATAAGAAAAAATGTTTTTACAAATGTATTAATGGCAAAAGGAAGGATARGACTGACCTTTGCTCTCTACTGGATGTGGGAGGGAACTTAGTAACTGCAGATGAGGAGAAGGCGGAAGTGTTTAATGCCTTCTTTGCCTCATTCTTTAGTGGGGAGATGGCTTGTCTTCAGGACAGCTGTCCTCCTGGTTTGGTAGATTGTGTCAGGGAACAGAATGGTCCCCCTGTTATCCAAGAAGAGGCAGTTAGGGAACTGCTGATCTGTTTGGATATTCATAAATCCATGGGAGCAGATGGGATCCATCCCAGGGTGATAAGGGAGCTGGCAGATGAACTTGTGAAGCTGCTCTCCATCATTTACCAACAGTCCTRGCTCACAGGTGAGGTTCCAGATGACTGGAAGCTGGCCAATGCGATGCYCATTCATAAAAAAGGCAGGAAAGAGGATCCGGGTAACTATAGGCCAGTCAGTCTGACCTCAGTACCCAGCCAGGTAATGGAACAGTTTATATTGAGTGTCATTCACRCAGCTCTTGCAGGATGGCCAGGGTATCAGAGCCAGCCAGCATGGATTTAGGAGGGGTAGGTCATGCTTGACYAAMMTGGTCTCCTTTTAYGACCAGGTRASCCRCCTGGTGGATGCGGGAAAGRCTGTGGATGTTGTCTATTTGGACTTCAGCAAGGCCTTTGACACTGTTTCCCACAGCATMCTCCTGAAAAAGCTGCAGCCCACGGCTCGGACAGGAGCACTCTTGGCTGGGTTAAGAACTGGATGGATGGCCGGGCCCAGAGAGTGATGGTGAATGGTGCTGCATCCAGCTGGTGTTTAGTCACCAGTGCTGTTCCTCAGGGCTCTGTGCTAGGGTTGGTTCTGTTCAATATTTTCATAGATGACATGGATGAGGGTATTGAGTCTTGGTTAGTAAATTTGCAGACAACACTAAGCTGGGAGCRTGTGCCAATCTGCTGGAAGGCAGAAGGCTCTACAGAGAGACTTGGAACAGTTGGATGGATGGGCAGAGTCCAATAAGGTGAGATTTAATAAGTTCAAGTGCCGAGTCCTGCATTTTGACCACAATAACCCTCTGCAATGTTATAGGCTGGGGACAATGTAGCTGGACAGCAGACAGACAGAAAGAAACCTGGGGTACTGGTCGACAGCCGAATGAATATGAGCCAGCAGTGTKCCTTGGTGGCCAAAAAGGCCAATGGGCATCCTGGCCTGTATCAGGAATAGTGTGGCCAGCAGGAGCAGGGAGGTTATTCTTCCCCTGTACTCAGCGCTGTCGAGGCTGCATCTTGAGTACTGTGTCCAGTTCTGGGCCCCTCAGTTCAGGAAGGATGTTGAGACACTTGGAGGAGAGCAACAAGGCTGATGAAGGGCTTGGAACACAAACCCTGTGAGGAATGGCTGAGGGAGCTGGGGTTGTTTAGCCTGGAGRAAAGGAGACTCAGAGGTGACCTTATTGCTCTCTACAACTTCCTGAAAGGTGGTTGTGGTTAGGTGTGGGTTGGTCTCTTTCTCCAGGCAMCAACTGGCAGAATGACAGGACATGGCCTTGAGCTGTGCCAAGGGAAATATAGGTAGATATTAGGAAAAAGTCTTTTACAGGAAGACTGATAAAGCATTGGAATGTCTGCCTGGGGAGGTGATGGAGTCRCCGTCCCTGGATGTGTTTAAAAAGAGATGGGACGTGGCACTTGKTGCCATGTTTTAGTTGAGGTATTTAGGACATGGGTGGGACTCAAAGAACTTGAAAGTCTCATCCAGCCCTAGTGATTCTCTGATTCTGTGATTCTGTGAGTATGTCTCCTGTGTTTAGATAAAGATTTCAGTTCTTATGTGGCCCCCACATACATGCCATGAAAGCAGGTAAGAAGATCTATGGCAGGAACTTGGGGAAAAGCTCYTGGCCCATGGAGATGCCACTAAATTATCTTTGAGGTTATAATAGTTATATTTTCCTTTTTAGAAAGACCATTACATCATTCCTGAATAATGTTTACATTCTCACTTTCAGAAAATGGTAGGCAATACTTATTTTTTATATTATAAGAAAAATAACTAGTAGACTGCCTTGTCTGTAGTGTCAGCAGCCAGTYCGCATACTTGTCGCTATGTCAGTGGCATATTGACTCTTATAATTTCTGTAGAATTTAATGATATAAAAATACCCTGGAAATGAGTAGGCGAATAATAGGAAACAGTATGTTCAATGGAAGAACAACAAAGTAATGTCAGGTTTTGTCACRCTTCTGTAGACCTGTCTTTATTAGTAAATTGCTTATCACTTCATGACAATAGTGCCACAAACAGTGGCATTAAGTTGCTGCCTTAATTCTGTCTCCTGTGGATTAGAGAGGGGAGAGACTGGTGTGGGACTGTCACTTGCAGAGGGGAGAGGCTGTGTGTGGGGGACCATTTGTGACATTCCCCCATGGGAATTGATGCAGAACTATCCTGTGCTGTAGAGTCTASCTCACCTCAGTGCATTGGGCAGCCAGTGAGTTAGACAGCTGGGAAACCCAGATGTTTCCCAGAGGTGGGATATTTCAGTTGGAATGTCAGCCTGCCACCGAGCATGGGAGAGGCTCTTCTCGTRATGAGTATTAAACCACTACTAATAAATTTACTGTGTTTTGGCAAATGGAAAAAATGTTTCATTCAAATATTTTTCACCCAAATCTCATTTTGTAAAGACAACACTTGGAGTGTGATGTGAGGACATAATTATAAAAGCTCACCTGACTCCAACTGATAGTTTGGGATCCAAGTACTTGCTTCCATGGTAGGAACAGAAGTTCACCGTGTGGATGTTGGCTTTTGACCTTTCTTCTATTTAAAAGGTCMATGAAAAGTGTACAAACCCTGTCTTTTGCAGTCTGCTAAGCCTTGCACTCAGTTATGTTGTTTTAAACAATGCTAAAATATTGTGTTGCATCGTAAAGCAGAAGTGGAACRGAAAGCTGGGGTTGAAGGGCAAGACTCTGTGAATAGACAAAATAGTACGTTGTAATWAGAATGACAACAGATATTATGTTTTGCCCTTTGGTAGTGCAACCTATTTGTACTTAAATTATCAGGATAAAAAAAGCTCTTATAAGTATTTAAGGACTAGGAGAAAAGTACAGTTAAATATCTCATCATGCTAMAAATAGTTGACTCTAAGTACTGTAAAATTTTTCAGGGGACCATTATTTATTTACACTCCTCCCTCAGTGAGAGATTTTTACTAAGTTTGTAACCTCAGATTTTTCTGTTATTKTCTTGCAGGTAAGTCTGGATTGGTCTGTTTGAACTATGCAGTTTGGGAAARTAAGTGAACAAAGTAAGCCTTCTTCAAGCTGTTCCAGCTTGTTAACAAGGTCAGAGTATTTTTTTTAACTCTAATACTGCAAATTTAAATTAAAATTAAAATAGCATGGATTCTGCAATTGTAGATTTCTATGGCTATCAGACACAATGGGATCTATATGTCAGCTGTGTATGTCACAGAACAAATAAGTGCACTGAGATCTATCACGCAGRCTACAGTTTCTCTGGTCCATCCTTAATCTAGGACTAGATGGAGACAATATGAAATATGCACATTACCGGCATTTTAAAGGGTGATACAACTTTTTATACTGTTTTTAATTGATCMTTTAAAGGAGTTCTCTAGTTATGACACATTTCCAGACATAAAACTTGAAGTACCTCTACTTGAATAGGACCAAGTTAACAGGCCATCCTCTGAAATGCTTACTTTGTGGATCATTCAGAGTTGATTCTCTTTTATTAATCACGTGGCAGTGACCCTGCTAGAAGTTCATAAAATGCTGTTTCTGGACTGGCATGCCTTGCTTCACACCTAACCATGCTTCCTTTGCTAACTTTCAAGCACTGGTATGGGTGGGCTGCATACAGATGAYGGCATGTTTACTGTGTCAGAGTCAAAAATCATTTCCTTTGAAATTTTCTTCCTCTTTTTYTCATCTCCCATTATCTCCAGGAACAATTACATCAACATCCTGTCAAATCCTAGTGTTGTCTGTGTAAATCAAGCTGTTACTCCTTTAGAAATCCATACTAGGAAGCATTCTCTTGTCCTAATCTATGATTACTGTGCATGTACCWATAACAAAAATCTTTCAGCAGTATTTCTGAATGCCCGTGTTGTGGCATCTCTTCAGATCAGTGCTATGGTAATGCCAATTGCAGGAAAGATATTGAAGATCAATATCCCRACAATGGTACACAAGGCATGTTCTCTTGCAGTCACTTGGGAATTTTAAAATTGTTCACTATCCAAGTTCAATTTTTTGCATATTTCAAGTAGACACAGCAAAAGCTACTGCCTGTCCTCAAGTTATTTGAGTTCTGCACTGCTCCAGATTCTATCCATTTGGTTATGTTTCAATTATTATTCAGATCTGACTTCAAAATGTTATATGAATGCTGAGAAATTTGTTATGCTTGGCTTTTCCCCTTTGCTTTTTTTCTTCCCCCTTTCTTCTTTTYCCTTTCCTCTTTCTCTTTCCCTTTCCTCTTCTGTTGACTGATGATAGGATGGTCTTTATCAACTGAGAAAATAAGTAATTTGTTCTTTGCAGCTCTGTCACCACTATCCTTTTGAGCATGATGTATTGAGGCAGTATTTGTGCCTTGCTTCTGAAGGGAGTGAAGCTGATAGTTGAGGTCAGCAAAATATGTAACTGGATTCCCATATGCTGCATTTCTGTCTCTGTTTTTTGTCTCCTGAAAGATGACAAAAACTTTGCTTGCACTCACTTCATGTTTGTTTGGACATCCTAGATGTAACCTCAATACACATTTACATCCACTTTTGAACACCTTCTGACTACCAGTTTCATAACTCAGCTTGCATCCTGCACTTGCTTCAGACCAATTCATTCACTACAGAAGTTTTACACTTGAAGGTTGATCCTTTGAAGCCTTTTGATTCCAACTATCCAATTTTGTCTTTTGAAATCAGTTTGGTTTTCAAAACATGGCTGAGCAGACTCTTTTCCTCTGCAACAGTTATCAGCCTCTAATACATCTGTGTACCATTGACTCTGTCATGACATGTGGATGCTTCTGTGCCTTTTTAAATGTGATGTACTGAGCTCATGCCTTAGGTACCTGGTTGTGTTCCCCTTCCACATTTCTTAGATCCCTTCTCAGCCTTGGCTTGAAGAGTTTTGCACAAGGACCAGTTTCCACACTCCTTAAACAATTTATTCATTGCCTCTGAGGGCAAAAAACATCATTTTGAACCAGGCTCAGTGCACTGTAATAAATATGCCGTAGTGTAACAAGGTTGCGTGGTGTATTTTAAGGAAATCAGGAACTATTAATGACCGAGGAGTTGAATGTGAAAATACCATCCATCACATCTCATTGCCATGAAAAACAGACTTGTATTTCAGCATTTCTGTTTGAAACATATAAATGCCGCTCTCAAAGGTGTATAGATGTAAATATGAATACTACCAAGTAAAAAATAAAACCTTAAAAATAAACATTTCACGTGGCCAAAGTTATAAGCAGCATTATGGAAAGAAGCTCCAATCTAAAGAAATATACAAAAAATAATTTGCTGTAGATCCACTGAAGCTGAAGTTGATACTCAGTTCGTATGGTCCTTCCATTGGATACAGAAATGATTATGAGGATTTAGGAGAGAAGTTAAAAGAGAATGCTTTTGATAATGCTGTCCATGTATAGCCAGCATCTGCCCCAGTATATCTCAGAACTCAGGGCCATGGAAGATTTCATCAGGTTTTAGAATTTTGTTTTTAGACTCTACCTCTTCTGTAAGTCTCACATAATGAGCAATCTGCCTTTGTTGCCCTCAGACTAATAATCATATACAAAGAAAAATATTCTGCCTTAAATCCAAGTCAATCTTAACCTCCAGAAGACTAGAAACTGCAGTTCCTTTCAGTAATGACCAGCTTGTGTGGTGTCTGTAAAAAGCTGCATTCTAGGTTTAGACCTTGTTAGGCTGTGAAACGAGGAGCATGTCTAAGTGAGAGTCCTTCCTATTAAAAAAACTGTTAYGGGCAGTATCTACTGCAGCTCAGCTGGTGGCTTTGTTCAGAGGCTCCATTGTGGAACCGTGCTCCAAAATTGACTGTGACAGCCTTTTGTTTGTGATTTGTACCTTCATGTTGATGCTGAAATCTTCTTTGTCATTGTTTTAATAGRGAAGAGGAACAAGACAGAACCTAATGCTCTTGGAAAATGTGGGAAGGAGATTCTTGTGATTACACTTTGGATCAGGCAGCTTATTGAAACAGCACYACTGGAAAAACAAGGAAATTAAGCAGACAGAAAGGGTGGAGAGGAGTTGTACTTTTGAGATATTTGCAATTTTAGTATGAAAAATGA